TCTGGGGTCGTGTTCTTTTAACTAAGAGAAGTGGCACAAAACACGACAAGGCCCAGTCCGCATTCACACCCTCGTTCTGAGCAATGTGAGTGCGATTCGCCTGCAATCGGAGTCAAGCCAAGGGCCATGAAGATAGAATCATCTGCGCAATGCTCATTTGTGCATCCCGATCATCACGACAATCGACATCGCCACCAATACTTATTCAATGAATACCACCTCGTCGGGATTTATATGGTCATGATTATGAGGTCCACCATCACTGTCACAATCGCCTTCCTATCGTGGGCTCAGCGAAACTGTCACGAAAAGAAGCTGCTGCATCTTGTCACATGGGAAACATCCCAAGCGAAACGAAAACATTCGATGCATCCTGATGTAAGGAGCTGCATCTGATCGAATTCAAGCTATCCTGGGCAACGAAACTGTCACGATCAACTCCATCGCGATTGATCGATTTTTTCAAATCCTAAGCACAACGGAACCTTCAAGCAAACCGACAACTGGCATCTGATCAAGTTGGAAACGGTCTCTCACGAAACTACTCCGCTGGCATCTCATCAATGTCGAACGCTTTTTAGGAGGGGTGTGCGCCGAAACTGTCACGAAACGGGCGGAGGTGTCAGAATCTGGAATAACTTCGGATTCAACGTTGCTGTCACGAAACATATCACTGCATCGATGAATTTCGAAAAAACTGAGCTCGACGAAGCTATCACGACAAAATGCTGTCTTTCGGTCTCGGTCCAACTGGCCACTTTCCTGATGGCAAAGAAGCTGTCACGCAAAAAGTCCGGTCGCAGTTGGAAAAGGATGTGGGGGCAACAACACCGTCACGAACACAACTGCTGATGCCGGTTGGATTAGTTTCGAGCACAACATAAGAGTAGCGCAACGAAATTGGAAATCCTGAGCGCAATTAACTGTCAGGACAATCATCACGGTCATCGGGCTTGTCATGGTCACGGTCATGATCATGACGACCATCATCGACATCATCGTAGTGATGCTTTTCTGATCCTCGACAGCCACATCCCCGTTGAACTCGTGCTTCTTCCTTCTGTTGCGGTCATTGTAGCTATCTGCTCAAATTCGAGAGAATATCCACTGCATGAGAGATCATGCCTCGTCCAAGGCCAGGTTTGCTATCGCGGCGCAGCCCTGCTCTCCCACCTGGGTGCTGCCCCGGATTCAACTCCGACTTGCCTTTCAAAGGGCACTTTCAGGCGGCCTCTGGATGGGAGACGTGGTACTTCATCCCGAGGATGATGAGCTCGATGCCGCCCTGGTCTTCTTGCGGAAGGGAAGCAGTTAGATCAGTTAGATTCAGTTAGATGCACTTGCCACGGCTCTCGGTTCTCGTCTCCTCGCGGCGGATGGCTTCCCGGGAGGTCTGGAACTCGCCAAGGTTGGCGAAAGCCCGGCAGCCCTTGCGCGACAGGATGGTCGTCAGAGTTTGGGGACTCATTCTTGGCCACACAGGCCGCGGCTTTTCTCTGGATGCCGGTGTCTGCTTGGAAGGACTTCAGTGCCGTGCAAATCAAGGCCTTGCATAACACACGCTGGCTGGGAAATGGATCCTCTTGAGCTTCTGGAAAAGGTTCCGGCAATTCCTCCCTTTGTGATGATAGGGTCCTTTGTGCAAGCATGTGCTTGTCAGGGCTGCTTTGCGTCCAGCATTGCATCATGCTGTGCAAAGGCCGCAAGATTCAGTTCTTCTTCTGACGACTCCGGTCCTGCATGGCCTCCACACGGGCCAGTATCGACAAGACCTGATGCCCAGCCCGGATTCCAGTGCTTGTGACTTCCGAGCTGCGGCAATGGATCGGAACTGAGAACATTCAGAAGTAACAGGCTTTTAGATGACAGAAGTTGTCCGTGGCACCCCGGTCAGGCCTCACAGCCAGTCTCCTGACCAAGCCAGAGACACTTTGGACATATCTCGTGTGGATATGAAGCACGAGATGCCACTCCTGGATCCTGGCTTCTGCTGGGAAGGCCCGCATGACCTCATGACGCATGTGGCCGGCAGTCCCCATAAATGAAACGATGCCTCCCCTCTGTGCCATCGAGGCGCAGCCAGGACGAGATCCAGAAGGCTTTCGCAGATGTGAATCATCCTGGCACGTCGAGGATCCAAGAGGGCGAGAAGAGTCACGAAGGATCCGAAAAGCCGGCGGGCAGACTCCGGCGGCGGATGCGGATAGCCCAAAGTCACCGTGGCCTCAGCGACTTATATGTGTCGTACGAGTACATACTCTCCACCGGCGATTGCAGCGAGCCTTCAGTGCATAGAACACAACCGCGGAATTCTCCGCATGAACCTGGCTGATGCAGCCTTAAGGCCGTAAGTGTATCCGAGCAGATCGCTGAAGCTCTTCACCGCAACCTGCAGCACTTGGACAATGCCATTGATGGTGAAGGCCTGTCGACAACATGTTCTGCCGCTGCATTGCTCAATCCGATCTCTCTGTTACAGACCCACACGCGCGAGCCTGGATGAGGCCAGCCTTCATTGTTTCGTCCAGGCCAGCGATAGCCACGAGCTGGGCAGGTTCGGCGAGAGTCGGCGAGAGAGAGAGAGGACCAGCGAGAATTTCGTGAAAATGAATCTCTGAAGGTCCGAGCATCCAAAGAGCTCAAGGACACAGTCACTGCGGAGACCATTTCATTTCGGACTTCCAGCAGACGCCTTGGCAGCACCGGCCCTTCGTGAGCTTCGTTCCTGGACTCCAGGGCCCCCTACACTGCTAAGGCAAGCGACAGATTCTGCCGGAGAATAACTCCTGGCCCTCTCTGCAACATGCGAAAACATATTCCTGAGAGCGCCGGGACATATACATGCTTCGCTGCAGGTGCTTCAAGCACTGTCGCAGTTCGCTTTGTGCACACCACGCTCCACGGAGCAATTAAAGCAGCTTCCGAGTGCAACCACCATCAGGAAGCCTTTGACTCTTGCTTCCCATTCGCAGCTACCCAGGGCACTAGGGAATTCCTTGGAGATTAGCTTGAAGCTGCTTCTTCTGCATCGAATTTCAGGTCTCACACTCTCCAGGAAATAGGCCTGGGGTGGGCAAAACAAACAAAAGAAGGCACGCACCGGCGAAGAAGCTCTGCGCCCCACGTTATCTCAAGAGGATGCACCACTTCTGCGGCCACCTCTTCACGAGACCACTGAGACCACTGACATAGACTGTCCCATCCCAGCATCTCTTTGTTTCGCGAACCCCAGACCAGAAGCGGCCACGGAAGCAGCACCTCCGTCACAATAGACTCCGGTGTTCGCATTGGTAGCTCTTCCAACGGAAACCTGGCAAAGCAGGCAGGCTGGGCTCTTGTCTTGGGGGGAGGGACGCAGAGGAAGGAACAGAATAGATGAAGAACGCCAGAAACAACAGCAGGAAAGAGGCATGTCTAGACGAAGGACTCCCCGTACCGTGTCGTAAGCCAGTTCAGGGTTTCTGAGTGGCATGCCTGGCTCTTTGCGGGGTCTGGCGGAGGTCCGTTTCAACAACGGTACACAGGGAAGTCGGAGTCATCCTGAGTATGCCGCAAACGGACGACAACTGGCTTTAGAGTCCATTTCTCGCGGCTTCTGTGGGTCGGGCAAATCAAACTCCTTTGCCATCATGCTTGGACCTGGCAATGAGAAGCTCACGCTCTTCCGTCGCATGCAAGAATTTCGCTCGTGGACTGCAGGCCCAGGGAGTGGCATCGCCAAGAGCCCAGATCCCTAAGGGTTGACCTTGGCCTCACGCGGATGAGCAACACTCCCCGAAGCCCTGGCTTTGGGGGATCTGGCCCCCGAAGCCCTGACAAAATCCCTGAAGAGGCAAGAACACCGCAACACTCCTCTCCAGAAAAAGCCTTCCCCCCCCCCTTTAAAGTCTTTGGCCTGGAGAGACTCCGGATCGACAGTCCAAGAAATCGGGCGATTGAAGCGGCTGCATGGATCTGGCCTCGCAGGGCGGGGCATCTGCGAGCTGCCGACTTTCCGAGGCGTTGAGGCCGTTGCCAAGGGTGCTAGATGAGTCGAGCCGCGGCAGGGGCTCCGAGCCTGGGCTGCATTTCTACCATGCGATCTCCGCTTTCGAGTCAAGGAAGGCACTCCGAGCCAGTTTTCGTGACCTTCTATAAATTGTAAACCTCAGACCAGTCCTCTTCATCTCGAACGGCTTGCCCCTGTCTGCTCCATTTTGTCGAACGTTTTGCTACTTTCAGGTCCTTTCTCATCTCTCAACTTCTCTCCCGCATTTCGAAGGGACGCTCCAGTCGCTCAACTTGTGTAATTAGCCATGTTAAACCGAAATGGCTCGCTCGCTCAACTTCTCCAACTTGGGGAGGAGGGGCTGGGACGAAAGCTAGACAGGACAACTAGCAAAGGACTGTCGGAGCTTTCCTGTATCCAGTCTGGCGAGTGCCAAGTCGCACCCGTGTCCGAGGGGTTCGCACAAGCGCTCGGAAAGCGCACGGCCGCAGGGTGCGTCTAGGCGTCACTGCAGCATTCATGATATGTAACCGCAAAACATACAGACAAACTACACCCGCCGTGCTGTGCGAGCGCACCACGTTCACATGCCGATTCTCGGCTCACAACATACACACGCCGATCAACGCCCCCAACACATCGACAGAGGGTGAATTGCCCTCGTGTAAACCCCGTGTTCAGGATCAGGGGGATGTTACTCCAGTTACTATACGGCTACAACCACTATCAGGCTACTCCAGGCAGCGGATAGACTGGGAACTGGAAGGAATTAATTGAACTGTATGGGGCAAGACACCCCTGCAGTCCCGTGCATACACAAGCGCAGTCTCGGAAGTCTACAATGTTGGAGCCAGTGAGAATGACAGGGCTCAGTTTCAGAAAGTCAGCTCTCGCACCATGGAGTCGATCAGTCGTAGGCCATGTAGGGCTCGGGCTCGGCATGCACACCTCGTGCCTGCAGGTTTCAGGGCCTGAACCGAAGGGTGGAAGTCCGGCCCAGATGTCCCTGGTGGAGTCTGGCTCCGATGCACCCCATAAGAAAGTCTACCCCCTGTGATGCCAACTCCCTTCACACATTGCACACCCCATGTTTGACAACACGCAGAGTCTGAGGCCGTTCCACGAAACAAATCGCTCGCCCTGTTATGTGTGATCTGACAACACACACACACACACACATGTGCGCGCCGATGTCCGTAACAAATCGTACCCCATGTGATGTGTGAGCTCACCACAATTTGTAGGCCGCGGCCCTTATTAGAACGGACTTACCTTGCGATGTGTGATGTCGCAGCATGCACACGCCGATGTCGATAGCCGCAACAATCGTTGTGATGCGTGATCTCACGACACTCAGCATTCCCGAAACAAGTCGTACTCCTGTGATGCGAAAACAGGCACACGCCGATGCACGTAACATCACATACACGCACCGATGCCGGGAACGAATCGTACCCAGCGTGAGACATGTTGATGCAAGTTGCGAGTCGTATCCCGTGCGATGTGTGATGACCTTAATAACATGCATACGCCGATGAAAGTAGATCGAAAGCAGGAAGCGGTGATGAATGATCACACAACCTGCACCCGCCAATGCGCGCAAAAGACACGTACCCCCTGGATGTGTGATCCCACCACGTCCGTACGAAGTTCGATCTCCCTGCAGACACAGGCTGATGCCCGCAACACATGCACCTCCCGTGATGTGTGATCATGTCCACGCCGCCCCTGTGAGTTGTGATTTCACGGCATTCACACGCATTCACACGCCGATCATTAGAACAAGTCGTACACCCCCCTCTGATGTGTGATATCACACCACATTCACGCGCCGATGCCTGGAACAAATCAGCTCCAAACAGAGCCACCAAGTCCCTAAGCGAGCATCGTCAGCATCATTGGGTGCCTGTAGGCGAGCGAATGAGCATCATTGAATGTTGAAAAACGGACCTATTCCATGGACAATGCGGCAGCCCCGGTCGGACGCATTCCATCGGTTTGTTCCAAACTCCAATAGCGCTAAGCGTAGCCGTCCGTCGTCCGCATCGAACGGATTGTTGGCCTCTCTCAATTTCAACCATCCGCTTCGAAACCACATCACAATCTCGCTTGAATTATCCTACTAATCGTCCGAACGGTTTGCTCCCTGGACTCCCTTCGCTCAACTTCACCAATCCGTTTAAAATGGTGTGCTCCCTTTGTAAACATTTTGGGTTGCTCTTGGGAGACGCTTTTATCCCTGTCGCACGCCGCGCGGTTTGCAATCCCGCTCGCAGGGTTATTCTCTTCCACTCTTTGTTTCTACTGCTGCGCCCTTTCGAGTAGACGTATTCCGCATGCCTATAGACATTGCTACCTCTAGTGGACTGTCTGCTTCCCACAACAGGAAAGCGTACGAAGTATCAACACCAATCGAATTTCGGCGTGGTGGCTTGTGCAAGAAGTCAACAAGAACATTGAACAACACAACGCGCACTAATTTCAAGACTCGGGGGGCGGCGGCCGGTTTCGCCTCGTCGCAAGCCCTCGTTGCGAATTGTGATGGGGAGAATGCCGAGAATGCGAATGCTGAGTGCAACGAAAGCAGTCGAGTCAGCGGCGGCTTCACAATGCTCCGAAGCTCCGGCATGCGGGGTACCTGCCAAGGCGGGTTGTGCCATGTTGCGACTGGCTTGCTCCACAAGTACTGCTGAGAACCATGAAGAGGATTGCAGACTGAAAGGTTTCTTTGCCGGTGCCACCCCCCAACTTGTTTCGCATGCCTGTGCTTCGACTTACCTGTATAGCCGAATAGAATCCAACATGCGGCGAAGGCGCTGTTGACTACAAGCGAGCCGCGAATGTTGAATGGAGCCATTTAAAATCACAGTCTTGTGGATCCGGTATAGCAAATTAGTGCCTTCAAGCCCTCCGAGCTTGGAAAGCTTGCCTTACTACTTACGCATCAATAAACCCGCCGCGTGCTGTGGCTCGGGGTATCCAGGGCAAAACCCTCAACCACGAGGTGCAGGGAGTGGATTTACCACGCCGCAGCCATTGGCACTTGGAGGGCCCTAGGATGCATCCACTTCTGATCTCCGCCAATAATCGATATACATAGGTATAAATAAAAAGTCTATCATCAGCTGACTGGTACTAGCCGTGGGAGCCGTCGCACGCCGTCCGGGCTGGAGAAATCCGCCACGCCCGGCCCCCGGCCTGCGGTGCATTCCGGGCCGCTGCTGCCTTGAGCCTCGGGAGCCTGGCGCGCTGGGCACGGGGGACAGGGCGAGATGATGGAGGATTTCGCCAGCGCCGGCCTCTGAGCCACTGCGTCCGGCGAGCCTGCCAAGAGCGGCAAGCTTCCTATCTTCCTATACTTTATCGGCTTTATGGCTTTATCTGTAATGTCGGCTAATACTGTGACTCCGTGCCTGGTGGGCTGGGCACTAAGCCCAAACGTACTCGTGACGTCCCTGCGTCCACCTGAGAGAGGCAGAGGACGTCAGAGGCAGGTTGCTCTCAGGACTGTCACAGCCATGCTCCGCATGCGCTGCATGCGCCTCCGCCTCCGTCCAGGACGAAGTCATCAAGGGCACCCGGTCTTCAACGTACTCTTCGCGGAAGTGCGAACCTGAGGATTCTGGATAGCGTCGACTCTGCAGAGTCTGCGAAGAACGGCCAATGCCCCCGGCGAGCACCGCAGCACATCATGTACGCGCGCGAACAATCCTGAGACAAATGAGCAGCTCGCGTCCAGCTTCCCCGGCTTCCCCCAATCTAAGGGCTAAGCATCGCCATCCATACTCTTGAGAGCAGTAGCAGCTGGGCCAGAAGACTATGAAACTCGGTGCACTCTGCTGTCGGCATGAAACTTACTCCAGATGCGACTCAGGAATCTGTCAGATCGTGCCAGCACCGGCTAGATTTTGTGTTGTGGGGGGTTTCATGTTTTGCTTGTCCATTCGATCTTCGCAGGCTTCCCAAGAAGCCTTTGAGCCAGAGCCATGTCCGAGCACATGCGAAGGAAACTAGTGGTTGCAACTTCCCAGCATGCACGGGCAAGTTTGTGGCAGCAGGTCGTGCAGCCTTGACCATCTGCTTCACGGGATTCGCAATTGTGTAGATGTTCCGCATGGAATTGGTTATGACCTGGAAGGCCCCACAACGACCCTGAAATGGCCGAGCTGTGTCACAAGCATTCCAGAGTACCGGCTTCTGTACTCAATGCAAAGCTCAAGAGGACAAGCACAGCTTCCCAAGCATGCCAGAGAGACCTCGGGAGACGGCATCTTCTCTTCGCCTCTTCCGAGCCCGACAGCGAAAGACAAAGCGACAAACGGTCCAATGCCGCGGAAGCTCGATGCCTGCAACGGCATTGGCCAAGATCGCCTTGCCACGGTCTGCCTCACACCTTTCCGCATTGAAATCATCAGCGAGCTTTAACGAGATAACACATCGTTCCCACCCAGCACATGGTAAGGTGCAGACAGGATGGCCAGAGCCGCGCACGCCTCACCGTGTCTCTCTGCACATTTCACAGTCTCACATACCTAGCTTGAACGGCAAGGCAGTGCACAGAACCCTTTCGTGACTGCCTGCTCGTTTACATGTTGGTCCATCGGATGCCAGTACATAGCAGTCACCAGTGCCTCAAAAGAGCCAGAAGCCTTCTTTTCTGCAGATGCACTGACACAGCAGTGCTGAGTGCTGACAGGCAGCTTCAATGCCTTTGGCATTGATGACGGCCACCTGGATTCAGACCAGATTATTCAGGTCCAGTGGTGAACCAAGACTGCCCCGACTGCGCGCAACCTTGGCATCGTCCGAACCCGCCACCATGCCCAGAGCGTAGGCGCCACTCATCTGATCGCGTTCGAGACAGGGGCTGTGCGCGACGCAAGCAGGATTAGACCTCTCCGGGCCTGAACACCCTGCGTCTCGGGATACTTTGTCATGGCGGCAATGATGCAATCGATGTAGCCAGCCTCTTCAGTCGTCTCGATTGCGAATATGCTGCTTCTGATGATTCTTCTCGTCGGCTGCCGTCGTTCTGAGGGACAGGCCTGCAGAAGTTTGGCGGCTGCCTCGGGTTCTCTTAAAGTCAGATCTCTGCAGCATTCTACCTGAGGGTAAATTTTGTCCAGCCTCCGGCCAGAGCGTGAGGCCTGAGAGGATCCGAAGGCAGTGCTCCTGAGTTGACACTTGAAGGCTTTCAAAGGCCTTCGGCACGCACCCTGCATGAAAGCAGTCCTGGATCAAGGGGAAATCGATGTAAAATCTCATGACCTCCATCACTCCGGACATGGCCGCATCAGGACATGGACTTCCAATAATGAAGCACAGACCGCACCAGGCCACCGGAGCCTGCAGAGTGATCTCGATGCCGCCATACTGTATGATTTGCGGACGGCACCTTTGGCACCACTGGCTCTCTCCACTCAGACCACAAGACCTTCGGTCTTACAACGGCCGGGCGCGCAGCTCCTGGTTCGTCGAGATGGCAGCCAGCAAGTTCATCTGGCAGCGGAGTGCAGGGCGTGAGGCAGTGCCCGGCACGATGATGACTATGATGCTGCTGTTGCTGATGATGATAATGATGGTGACGACGATGCTGTGCAAATTCGATGCCAGACGTGTCATACAGAACCTTCTCCGGGTTGCAAGTGTCATACAAGAATGCAACCATTGCAGACATCTTGAAGCTTCTGCAAGGCCCAATGTTCTCCTACCCGCCGCACTCTCGGCTGCATGCAGTGGTCCCAAACGAAAACACAACACTAAGCAACAACGAGCAAAAACAGCATGCACGCTGACAACGCCACACGCCAAGTGCGACTACGGTGGCAAAGGTGCGTCACATCCGATGCGCGTACCGCTTGGCTACAGGAAGAAATGCTGAATGAAACACAGCTAGCAGCAAGTGCTGTGGAAAAAGACCCCAGCCTTCATGATGATGACATCGTGTTTTGTTGGAATGCAGGCTGGACTGCTGAATTAGGCCCTTCACACCCCGGCACAGATTCCTCGGGACAGGGCTGTCAAGTCCCCCAGTCCCAGTCGCCAAAGCATCCAAAGGGAACCTTCTTTGTTGAATGAAGTTTACAAGGGAGCCTAAGCAGTGGCTGAAGGGAGGCGAAAACTGCTGCACGACCCAGCTACGACTTTGCCCACAATTCTGGCTGACAGGTTTGCACATTCCAATAAAATGTCAGTATGATCCAACCCGACTTTAACCAACGAGGAATTTACCCCAATCTCGGCTGCCAGGCTCAATTTGTAAGGAAACATCGACAACGACTTGAACCCAAGTACAAGTAGGCTAAAACCCGAAACCCTCATGAAAAAGAACACTTTGGTTACGCCAACCGCGATGAGCCTACACCCCAAACCCACCACCAGCCCGCAAATCCCTCTCACCTCCCCCCGACCCTGATGCGCAAGGGCCTACCTCCCGACCAAAGAACATGGTCTTCTCCCTCTTGGAGGGCTTCTTCATGACGGCTCTGTCTTGTAAGTTTCTTACAGGACGAATCGACTATTCGGCCGGGCAACTTGGCGCCTGCATTGTGTGTGTTTTGTGTCAATGTTGGGGATGCATGTGTGCCGACAGCCCCTTGCCCCGAAAGTTCATGTGATCCTTCTACGCCGACATGCCGTTCCAACGCTGGCTCCCCGATTCAAAACAACCCCCGTCCCATAATGAGGAGAACATTTTTCTCCAGGAAGCTAGAATCAGAAACGGCCGTTCAAAAACCAGCCAAGAATCAGAAAAGGCAACTCAGAAACCAACGCGAATCAGACACTGCGACATCGGGAACCAGCGCAAATCGGAAATAAGCGGCGAATCGGAAGCTTCTTACCAAACGGGAGCATCCTCTAGACCCGCGAATCAGAAACCAAGTGCTTCACAAATTGCGGCGATTCAAAAATTGCCGCGATTCGGAAACCCGTTTCCCAGGGCATCCACGCTTGAACAATGATTGCATCGACTTCCCCGAGCATCCAGCGATGATTTCGTTCACGCCAACAATGCCCGAACACCCGCGCAAATCATCAATGCCGAACCATAATTTCAAGCAAGCTACCACTGCATCCATGTCCCCGACCACCCATTCAAGACTTCGTCCATGCCAAAGGCGCATCAATGTCCGACCAAATCCATGCTCGAACGATGATTACGTGCATTCTACCCGAGCAGCAGTGCAGCGACTTCCAAGGTCAAGCGAGTCAAAGATATCCTTGGAAAGGTTGATTTGTATTGGTTGAATCCTTATGCAAAGTCCCGTCGGAGCCAACTGGTTCAAGCGAATTCCAAAGGCTCAATGAGTTCAACCCATCGAAAAATGGTTCCAGTTTGAAACGAATCAATAGATTCAAATTTCCATCCCCCCTTGTTTGCGGCGGGACTTCCTCTTCCCCCACATCGTGAGCATCAGTACACACCACCCTCCGTCCAGCACCCAGCACCTGACCAGCTTCGAGCACCAAACTCCATGAAGCGCCCTTCACCCGACCGCCTGCACCAGGAAACGTTTGTGTCCCCATCTGACTGGCTGGGGAGAGGATACAATCACACGTATCTGCTGCTGGGTGAGTGTGTCTTTCAAAAATTACATCTCCTAGCAGTTGCTGTGGAAATCAAGCCGCATAAAGCAATCTCAAAACCAAGCGTTTGTGGCCTTATGTTTCCTCAAAACCACGTGATGTGTAAATCACAACACAAGACTGGCACGTTTCACTAAGAGGAAACTCTGTAGGGGACAACCAGCAGAGAGTTCTCGCATCCTGCTGGTATGAGTGACTACGCTGACGACGACGATGACGGTGACGACATAGACCATCATGAG